GTCCCTTGGGGGAACTTGTAGCCTGTAGCCCTATAAGTGCGCGGTGTGTGTCGAAATATATTTGTCATATTTTATAACTGCTTGTAGTTGTAGTTAGTGTAGTTATTTAAACTGTTGTTGGTGGTGCACCTTATTTGGTTCCTATGCTATATGTACTTCGAACCCTATAGTGAAACCATCATTCCCCAACTTTCTCTTCAACTCACTCGATACCTCGCCTAGAGAAAACCTATTCGATACCTAATCTCGGGCCTAGGCTACTAAGCCTAGGCCCTACCTCTCAACTTAACTTATACTCTTCACATGGTATCAGAGCTAATTACGTCCTGGCCTGTGGGCCCGCCCTACGCTTCCGCTATGATTTTTCGGTCGCGCGCCTAGGGCGCGTGACGATTTTTACCTTGTCCCGCCCACGGGTGTGTGACTCCTACTCTGCCCGTCGCGCGCCCCGTGGCACGCGACGGTGCCCTTCAACTGCCCATCGTGCGCCCCGTGGCACACGATGGTGCCCTGCTCGTCGTGCGCCCCTAGGCGCACGATCGGGCCCTTTCTCTTCTTCTACCCGTCGTGCGCCCCGTGGCACTGGCACGCGACGGGCCTTTCCGCCCCTGCTCTCCCTGAAGCCGCCCCTGGCCCATCTGCACCGACACCTTTTCTCCGCTCTGCGGCTTTCTTCCCGCCCACCCCCTCCTCCTTTGTCTCCCTGCAGCCGTGGGGAGGAGGGTATGGGGGTGGAGGGTGTTGGAGTGTTGGGTCACCTCTCTCCCTTCCCCTCCTCCTTCTTTCAGTCCCACCGCTGCAGCTGCCGCTGGGGGGGGAGGGTGTGAGGATGTGGGGGAGCAGGGGGAGTGGTACCGGGGTGGCGGGTGTGAGGCAACATGCAGCCGTCCCTCCACCACTCCTCACTTCCCCCCCTTCTCTGCTGCTCTTGCAGCAGTGTTGGGGAGGGGAAGGAGGAGGGTGAGGAGATGGAAGGGGTACCTGCTGTTGCTTGCTATTCTTTTGAATGGCGTAACTACATATCTACCTACAAGCATTATGGGGGCGTGTCGAAATATATTTGTCATGTTTTATAACTGCTTGTAGTTGTAGTTAGTGTAGTTATTTAAACTGTTGTTGGTGGTGCACCTTATTTGGTTCCTATGCTATATGTACTTCGAACCCTATAGTGAAACAATCATTCCCCAACTTTCTCTTCAACTCACTCGATACCTCGCCTAGAGAAAACCTACTCGATACCTAATCTCGGGCCTAGGCTCCTAAGCCTAGGCCCTACCTCTCAACTTAACTTATACTCTTCACAGTGTGGGCTTCTCAAAGTTTCTTCGGACCTCCACTCCCTCTTGCAAGGAAAACAAGTAGGCCAAAAAAGAAAAGGACTGCATTTCTGTTTTTGCGGGAAGGGGACCAACTCACACCTGCAAGAGAAACAGGCAGGCGGAAATACAAGGGAACAACGTAACATTCATGACGGATTCTTTGGCTTCTTTTTTTTTTTTTTTTTTTTTTGTTCCCTCCCCCTTAAGATACTGCCATAAATTTCTACAACATATTCTACAAGAATGATTGTAAATAAGAATCGAGTTTGCGCAGTACTTAAGGCGGCTAAACAAAGTCGCCATCGACACAAAAGCCGCATGTGAGGAGTCTATTTTTGAGGCACCTCAAAGTTTGGGCAGTGCTCAAGGCGGCATGACAAAGTCGCCATCCATACCTTTCAAGGCAATCCGAAAATTCTTCTAAGAAGGCTCAAGAGGGACACTTGTCTGGAGCAGGTGGGAATCAAGAGTGACTCGTATATGAGGAGCAGGTACCTTGGTAATGATGTTGATATCCACGTTGCTGCCACTGCCTAGGTCGTTAAAAATACCTGCCCAGATGGCCGCAGACACCAGTGCTACTCCCTCCTCCTACTGCTCTTTTCACAGGGGTGCGCGGGCGGAGAGGAGGGGAGGAGGTCGGTGAAGGGGGAGGTGGACAGCGAAAAGGGAGGAGGATGAAAAGATCGAATCAGGGAGGAGAGAGAATGCCAGGCGAGCACGCAACGGGCAATCAAAATAACTAACAAACATGCCATAAGAAACCATACAATGTGTCGTCTAACCTCCAACCCATGAATCTTATGGGTAGACCATCAAGGCCATGCAGTCATGAGGATAGATAGTGCACAATGATGAAGGAAACATAACTCTAGTAATAATAATGAAAATAATAACTACAATAGAACATTATCGTCTAGCTACATGTTTGGTCCCATCCATCCTCGGCACAAGACTCTTCGTAATGTCATCCTTGTGCAATGACTGAACGCCAAGGCCCATTCATTCTCGTTATAAGACTCACCGTCATGCCCTCCTTGTACTGGGACTCGAGAATGGCCATGGCAGCCAGCGATCCCTACCCAATGGACCCAAAGGGCAGTCGGTCCGTGCTGCCATGCGGATAGATGGTGCACAACTGCGGGCCTATCACGTGGGTAAGTAACGCACCAGTGCTGCTGAGATGTGCCCCTGGTAGAAGCTGGGGGAAAGGGATGTGGGGAAAGAGGAAACGACAACATACGTTGGGTAAAAAAAGAGGGAGGAGCAAAGGGAGGAAGAAGGGAAGGATAGATGGTGCACAGCTGAGGGCCCGTCACTTCCATGCTGCCCTGGTAGCTGGGGGGGGAGGGGTGGGAGGGAGGCGAGAGAAGGAGGGTTTGGAGGGTGTACAGGTGAGAAGAAGGGCAAAGGAAGCGTGGAAGAAGGGGGGACGAAGGGGGGGAGAAGGGCAGACAAAGGTGAGATTGGCTGGGATTGAGGAGACGAGGTCACTCACTTGAAGAGGTGTTGTTGAGGATGGTGAGCCCGCTGACGACCCTTGATTGCCTACCTTATGCCTGCCGGTACAGCGCCAACTGCGCGCTCACCATCTCTGGGGGAGGGGGAGGGGGAGGGGTCGCACGGGGGGAGATTCTTGTGAATCGGGGGAAGGGGAAGGAGATTCTATTGCAGGTGTGACACACATGAAGCAGCCGTTGTGCAGAAAGAGGGGGAAGGGGATGGTGAGCCCGCTGACGACCCTTAATTGCCTGCCTTTGGCCTGCCGGTACAGCGCCAACTGCGCGCTCACCATCTCTGGGGGAGGGGGAGGGGGAGGGGTGGCACGGGGGGGGATTCTTGTGAATCGGGGGAAGGGGAAGGGGATTCTGTTGCAGGTCTGACACACATGAAGCAGCCGTTGTGCTAGGGGGAAGGGGATGGTGAGCCCGCTGACGACCCTTGATTGCTGTGAGGATCTAGGATTGAGCTCAGAAAAGAGAATGTGAATTGAATTGAATTGAATGATCACCTGGGTACAACACGAGGCTATATATAGGCTCGACACAAGGCCCCGTAACCAGGTGTTACGCAAAGGTTCCGCGGGCCGCGAAGTGTCCCGGACAGATCCTTACCGAATTCGGTAGAAGGCAATTTGGTGGCAACCGAAAAGCCAGAATTCGGTGCACGCAACCTAGCTTGGTGCTATAATTATAATAAAATATAGGAAAGCACCTAGCTTAGGAAATCAAGCAATTCATGCATGCATATAATTATCCTATGCTAGAAATAGCATGATAAAGTAACGGCAAGCAAGCATAGCTGGCATAAGCCGTCGTACTCTCATAATTGCCTGCCCGTGGCTTGCCGGTATAGCGTCAACTGCGCGCTCACCATCTCTAGGGAAGACGCATGACAGAAACAAAGCAGCCGCAGCCGCAGCCGCACCCACCCCCTCCCATAACCAGAAGCCGTAGCCGCAGGCACAGAGCCACAATAGTCTCATCTCACCAGTGAGGAACGCGGTGTTAACGGCAGTACCAGCGCCGCAACAGTAGCTGTTCGGCGCCATGTAGTGAATCTTGGCGCAGTGATCAACACCTATACGAAGCCCCCCGTTTCCCATCCCAACATCTCCACCTCTCCCACCCTCCCCTTCTCCAACCCATCTCCTTCATCCCTCCTCCACCCCCTTGACAACCTCGTTCTTCCAATCAGACCCACCCACACACAAAGCAGAGGCAAGCTCACCAGTGACGAACGCGGTGTCGGCGGCGGTACCAGCGCCGCAGCAGTAGATGTTGGGCGCCATGTAGTGGATCTTCTCGCGGTTCTTATCCGCTACAATTGCCCCGTTAGTGGCCCGCGTGTCTCCCCCTCACCACGCTCGTAGCAGCAGTACATGATGGGTACCATGTAGTGAATCTTCTCACAGTTCTTATCCACTACAATCGCCCCGTTAGTGGCCCGCGTGTCTCCCCCTCACCACGCTCGTAGCAGTAGTACATGATGGGTACCATATAATGAATCTTCTCACAGTTCTTATCCGTTGCAATCGCCCCGTTAGTGGCCCGCGTATCTCCCCCTCACCACGCTCGTAACAGCAGCACAAGCTGATTACCATGTGGTGAATCCTGGCACATGCTCCTCACTCGTTCGACCTCTCCCCACCCCCCTATCCCTTCCCCCTTCCCCCTCTCTCCACCTCCCCCCTTCCTACTCCCCCTCGCCTTTGCATCGCCCTATATGCATGCATTATCTGCAAGATTCATCTACGTCTTTAACCACAATAGAAGCAGAAGCAGGGTTGCCAGGAGTGAGTTTAGGCTTGATTGACACACTCCTATATAGAGAAGCAGGAGTGCTTCCAAGAGAATGACACTCCTCAATTGTCTTATATGGCATCGGGTCAGAGGAGGCCCCACCGCTACCAACACCTTGGCACCGAGCAGCACCTTGCTCACTCAGCACGCATGCTTCACCCTCCTCCAGGTTCCCATCCCCATCAACATTCCAATCTGATGGCTTAAGATTTTTCAGCTCCAGCCGAAGACGCCTCACTTCTTGCTCCGATCGCTCGTTCCGCGCTTGAAACAGCCGTATTTGCTCGTTGGCCTCCGACAGCCGTCGCTGCGCGCTCGCATTGTCCAGCTTCAGCTTTGCAGCGTCAAGCTCGAGCTCTGCCAGCCTGTCATGCTGCCGCTACCGCGCTCTTCGCGAGGACGCACAGTTGGATAGCTGCCGCTTGCGCCTCTTCTCCTCTACTCGCTCCTCTGCCAGCGTGTGCGGACCGTGGCTCCCTTCTGTGCCAGAAGTCGTGTGTGGATCAGTGCACTGGACTAAGCTCCCATCACCACCTCCACTCCTGGCATTCCCCTTAGCACCATACTCAGCACCACTAGCACCACCCCATACACCAATCCCAGCACCACTAGCGTTGCTCCCTACACCAATCCCGGCACCACTCCTGTTACCACTCCTAGCATCTCTTGCATCACTCCCAACACCACTTGCACCACTTCCACCACCACTGGCACCACTCCCAACACCACTAACACCACTCCTAGCATCGTTTGTAGGGCCCCCTACACCACTCCCATTCCTACTCCCAGCATCACAAGCACCACTCCCAATACCACCAGCACCATTCCCAGCACAACCAGCACCATTCTCAGCACCACTAGAACCACTCCCATCACCACTAGCACCATTCCCATCACCACTAGCACCATTCCCATAACCACTAGCACCATTCCCTGCACCACTAGCACCAATCCCAGCACCACTAGCACCATTCCCAGCACCACTAGCACCATTCCCAGCACCACTAGCACCATTTCCGGCACCACTAGCACCATTCCCATCACCACTAGCACCATTCCCAGCACCACTCCCTGCCGCATTTCCGCAGTTCAGGAGAGACCCCCTCGGCAATTCTGCGTGAGAGAAGCACTGAGTGGGGAGGCTTCCGGTAGCAGGGATCTGGAGCTGTCTGCTGTCCAATGCTCCAGCGCTAGAGAGGTCCCCCCTTACTGACCCGTGTACGCTGTGGGATTGTGCGCCCGCGAGGAAGTATTTTGCTCTTAGTAGGAGACGCTGGCAAGTGGAATATGCGAGCGGACCCGCTTCTTATGAAACTGCCTCTCACGTATGTTGAAGGGAGCTGCGGTGACAGGTGCAGCGGTGACGGTTGCTGCATGGCGTTATCCACAAGGCCTTGCAGCCCGTTCCAGGTTGCAGCATCATCACTGGTGAATGACTTTGTTGATTGCATTGAATTCGTTGACCGCACTGATTTTGTTGACCGCACTCACTTTGTTGACTGCGCTGACCTCGTTGACCGCACTACTTATCTTGACCGCATTGACTTGGACTTTGCTAATTGAATTAACATTGCCGATTGTGTTGGGGGCTGCAAATGAGTTAACCTTCTTCTGATGTTTCTGAAGTAACTGCTGCTGCTGCAGCAGCCATCGCTGTAGTTCTTGTTGTTGATGATGATGATGCTGATGATGCTGCTGCTGCTGCTACTGCTGTTTCTGCTGCTGCTGCTTCTGCGGCTGGTGTAGCTGGTGCTGTTGCTCCTGCTCCTACTTCTGATGATGATGATGCTACTGCTGCTATTGCTGCTGCAGTTGTTTCTGCTGCTGCTGCTGTTGCTGCTTCTGCGTCTGCTATAACTGCTGCTGTTGCTCTTGCTCCTGCTTCTGATGCTGATGATGATGCTGCTGCTTCTTCTTCTTCTTCTGCTGCTGCTGCTACTATTGCTGCTGCTGCTAATGCTGCTACTGCTGGTGCTGCTACTGCTGCTGTTGTTGCTGCTACTGCTCTTGCTGCTGCTGCTGCTGCTGCTGCTGCTGCTGCTGCTTCTGCTGCTGCTGCTCCTACTGTTGCTGCTGCTGCTTCTGGTGCCCCTGCTACTGCTGCTGCTGCTGCTGCTTGCCCTGTTGCTGCTGCTGCTGCTGCTATTGCTGCTGCTGCTGCTGCTGCTACTGTTGCTGCTGCTACTTCTTCTGCCCCTACTGCTGCTGCTGCTGCCCCTGCTGCTGCTGCCCCTGCTGCTGCTGCCCCTGCTGCTGCTGCCTCTGCTGCTACTGCCCCTGCTACTACTACTACCCCTGCTACTGCTGCCCCTGGTGCTGCTGCCCCTGCTGGTGCTGCCCCTCCTGCTGCTGCTGCTGCTGCTACTGCCCCTGCTGCTGCTGCTGCTGCTACTGCCCCTGCTGCTGCTGCTGCCCCTGCTGTTGTTGCTGCTGCTAGTAATAATGCTGTTGCTGGGAACCACGATGTTGTCTCAGAAATGTGTTGTCGTTCGAGGTGGAAAGAAGAGCCGCTCTGGATGGGGCAGTAGGCGCGGGGATGCTCTGTGATGTCTCAACTTCAGAAGAGGCGGGCTCCAATGGAGCTACCACTGGTGCTTTGTTTCTGTGGCACCTCTTAATGAGCCTGAAAAATCCAAACGAGGCGGTTGACCAGAAGTGAGAATGGATGAATGAACTATGAAAGGGTTGGGTACAAGTACTAACCCTTATTGGGTTGTACCCCATACGAGCTACCCCACTACAGCCTACACAAATGTATAAGCTATAATGTTCTAACACACCCCCATAGGCAAAGTGGGGGAGAACAAGAGGTCACAAGACCAGTCAAGCAAAGCAAAGCAAAGCAAGCTCAGGGTGGATCACAAAGTCACCACACAGTTAGAGCACAAGAGTAGGGCCACAAGGCCAGTTCACATGCAAGAACATATATATAAAGGTAAAACAAGCAAGGGCAGGTATAGAAAGAATACAGTACAAACAAGATCAAGAAGTGAGCAAGTAAGGCCAGGTAGGCACAAGACCTAGCACAGTACAGAAACGCTGATGATCACAAGGCGCAAGTGCCTTGGTGAAGATATCAGCAGTGTTGGCCTCAGAGGCCACGTAGGTGAGACGGAGCTGACCACGCTGCTGCAGCTCACGAGAAAGGAAGTAGCGGAGAGCAATGTGCTTCGTTCTGTGCTCCAGTCTGTGCTCCCGACACAAGGCCAGCATGGCCTTGTTGTCTACATACAGAACTGGAGGAGAACGAGGTGGCTCTCCTAGGTCAGTCAGCAGGTAGGTGAGCCAGCGTAGCTCCTGTGCAGCCATGGCCCCCGCGTAGATCTCAGCCTCACAGCTGGAGCCGAGAACAGAAGACGAGCAGGTAGACCGCCACGAAATAGAGCCGGAGCAAAGGCTGAAGGTGTAACCCTGTGACGACCACTGCGTAGCCTGGTCGTTAGCCAAAGAAGCGTCAGCGTGACCTGTGAGGACTACTTGACGTCGCCCTCCAAGCACTTGCCCCATGCCCGACGTACTGCACACGTAGCGCAACACCCTCTTCGCTGCAGCCATGTGCTCTGGTCTGTGTCTCCCAGGAGCAACATAGCGTGCCAAGATGCTAAGAGGGTATGCAAGGTCAGGTCGTGTGCAGGTCATCAGGTACATGAGGCAGCCAACAAGCTCCGGGTACGGGCCACTCGGCTCTACAGACTCATCCGAGGGCAGAGCTGAGAGTGAGTGGCCAGTAGACAGAGGAGTGGCCTGAGGCGAAAAGTACGTGAAGCCGAAGCGCTAAAGGACCTGCTACACCATGTGTGACTGAGTCAGGGTAATGGTGCACTGTGCTCTGTCCCGGGTGATCTGCAAGCCAAGGTAGCTACGCAGTTCACCCAGGTCTGTGCACGTGTGTCTCTTCTGCACCTCGGACTTCACATGGGCGAGTCCAGCAGTGGCAAAGACAAAGTCGTCGACGTACATGAGGATGTAGAACTGCGGCAAAGAGGTGTCGGTGCGCAGAAACAGCGATGGGCCGGCTGTAGAAGGAGCAAACCCAAGAGCCGCAAGTGTAGTCCTCAGTGTGTCGTGCCACTCATGGGGCGCCTGGCGGAGACCGTAGACTGGCCGCCGGAGGCGCCACTGGAGCAGCAACTAGAGCAGACGCAGCAGTGGACTCAAAGGAAGGGTCAGTGACAACATTAGCAAGAAGGCGCGTAACCGAAGGACTAGCAGCACGAAGGGAGTCAGACTCCGGGTGAGCAAGAGGGGGAAGAGAGGACTCTGGAGAAGACGGCAACGGGACACGCAGTGGAGCAGTGGAAGGACGCAGTGCCATCTGGTGTGTGCCGGGGACCGCAGGAGGACGCGGACGTGCAGTACGACCACTAGTGCGAGAAGCACGAACAGGCAACGCGGGGCGAGACGCAGGCTCACAACGCTCAGCAAGACCTCCAGTAGGACCAGTGTAGGGAGAAGGAGCAGGTAGAGGGGAGGCGGGCGGAAAGTGTGACTGCGACTGGACACGCGGTGGACACTCTAAGGGAGGAGCAGGACCAGTAGAGGGCGGGAGACCAAGAACCTGCTCCAGGAGGGGGACGAAGTACGGCCTCGGCCGCACAGCGCCTCCAGAACCAGCAAGGACGCCACCAGTACCCCCAGCAGCAGCACCATCGCCAGCAAAACCTCCAGCTCCAACAGCGCCAACTCTGGTACCCTCAGAAGCACCAGCGCCAGCAGCACCGCCAGCGTCAACACCCCTAGCAGCTCAACCTCCAGTAGCACCAACTCCAGTAGGACCGGCTGCACCACCTGCCTCAGCAGCACCTCCAGACGCACCAGCACCAGTAGAAACACCAGCGCCAACACCCCCAGCAGCTCCAGCTCCAGCAGCACCAGCACCGATGGAAGCTCCAGCAGGACCAACTCCAGTAGCTCCAGCAGCAACCCTAGACTCAGAAGCACGTCTCCAGCGGCGGGCGAACCACTCGCGCAGATCCTGTGGAGAGAGCAGCTCCTGCCTCGACGAAGCACCGCCGGCTACCACACGAGCAGACCCAGCACCCCCAGGCTCAGCACCCCCAGGCTCAGCACCCCCAATCTCAGAGCCCTAGACTCAGCACCCCCAGACCCGGCACCCGCAGACCCGGCACCCGTAGGCTCAGCACCTCTAGGAGCACCAGAGTCAACAGCTACCTCGAAAGGCTCGGCTGCGTCTACCTGGGACACACCTGAAGGGGCAGGGCCCTGAGGAGGGAGGGGGTCTACTTGGGTAGCACCTCGCGCAAGGAAGAGCGCCGACGGGGGGAGGGGCGCAGTGCGGTAGGGGAAGAGACGGTAGTAAGGCACCGACTCGTCAAAGGTGACGTCCTAGAAGGACAGAACACGGCGCGTGGTGGGGTGGTAAAACCGCCAGCCAGGCGCGTCGTGGGGAAAGCCAAGGAAGACGCAAGGAACAGCACGGGGGGACAGCTTGTCCGCAGACAAGTCGCGGACAAACGCCCTAGATCCCCAGATCCCAAACGCACACGCATCGCCAACCTTCCCTCTCCACTGCAAGGCGGGGGAGGTCTCTGGCAATGAGACCCGGGGCTGAAGGTTGAGCTGATGCGCGGCGTACTGAACCGCAAACGGCCACAGAAAATGGGGGGCAGCCGCATGCATCATGGATGTACGAGCGACGTCCATGACCATGCCGATGCGGCGCTCAGCAATCCCATATTGCTGTGGAGAGGCCGGAAGCGTGAATGTCTGGTAGATGCCCTGTGCACGACAGAAGGCTCCCACACGGGCAGAGGAAAACTCCCCGCCTCTGTCCAAGTGCACACGCAGAACAGGAAAGTCCGAGCCGAAACTCTCTCGGAGCTGGGGACGAGCTGCGCGGATCCAGTCGATCAACACCTCAGTGACGTCACCCTTGCTGCGCAAGGGGAAGACTGTGGTGTAACGCGAGTAGTCGTCAATGACCAGCAAAAAGTACCGCTCTCGCCCCTGCCCACTAACGCGGGCTGGCCCCCACACGTCCATGTGTAGAGTCTGCTGCGGAGCCTCTATCGTAGGAAACTCGGAGGAGTGAGGGGCGGCGCGCTGTCGCCCCTCGACGCAGGGGACGCAGGTAGGGCCAGGCCCCATAGGAAGGGGAGGGAGAGACCGTGGGAGACCAGAGATTAGGACACGGGAGGCCATGCCTCAAAGATGAAGCAAGGAGGGGTGACCAAGGCGGTGGTGCCAAAGGAGAGTCTGGTGGGACAGTAGACGACACGAGCAGGGGGCAGACTCAGGACCAGACCTCGACGCCGCAGCAAACACCTGACTCGACGCAGCTACCTGGGCAGACCCAGCTGTAGGAGGAGACTCAGCAGTAAGGGTGTGCAGGCTCGACCCTGGCCGACGAGTGAACGTGGCCAAGTGTCGGCCTGTCCGAGCACACGTGCAGTGGGTCACTCGCTGACTCGCAGGAGTGAACTGGTCAACC